AGTGTCACTGGCCCTCATATGTGGGATCCGAACCGGGGCCCTCTGGCATCCCAAGCGAGTTCTTAACCATCGCGCCACTCGGCCGGCCCTGATCAGTTTTCTTAAAGGGGATCCTATTGGGGAGCCGTCAAGAAGCTTAAATAGAAAAAGTGGGGAAATGGTGCTCTTCGGTCTGTTGCATTCGGAGGAATTATATACATAGAACAATATAGACCCTAAAGTATTTCTCTATTCCTTAACTGAGTGATGGAGGGTAATAAAAAAGGCCATAACTAAGTGACAGACACTCTTACTAGAATGCAACGAACATTCCTAAGGCAATCGCTGCTTCAGAAGTCGTCTAAATGACTCTCCGGTGCCTGTAAAATCACTTTTTGCCCTCGCCAAAACCCAGATGCGACCGCCTGAGACCTCCCGGAGTGAAGGGGCCACCTTGCGCTCCCCACTCTGCAGCTGGGAAAAACAGGGGCGCAAGCGCAATGCTTCCTGACAGGCCGCACACCGCACTCAGCGGCGGAACGTGGGCGGGGCTCCCCCGCCCCCTCCGGGCAGGGGGCGGGACCGGCGGCAGAGGGCGGACTCCGCCCCGGGGGAGGGGCCGGTCGACAGCGGCGCGTTGCTGTGCCGCACGTGTGCGAGCCCGGCGGCTGGTGAGTCAACCCAAACGCTGCGGGCCCCAGGCGTGGACAGAGCTGCTTATGTCCAGCTGCCATCGCAGCTGGTTCTTCCGAGTGACCCTCGCAGCCGCCTCCCTTCTGCGCCGGGAGCAGCGCGCCCGCCCCCTCGCCGCCCGGCCCGCGCCGCGCCCGCGTTCTCAGGCCCTTGGTAAGTGCGCAGCCTCCCCGCAGCTGCCCGGGCTCTCAGCCTGGCCCGGCCGGGGCCCCCGCCCCCAGGTCCCGCCCTGAGGGGCAGTGCGGACTGGGAAGGCGTCCCAGCGGTGTTCTGAGCCTACGGCGCGCCCGCGGAGCCTCCATTACTAATCGTGCCCGCGGGAGCGCGGCTGCAGCGCGGCGGGTCCTGCGCTTCAGTGGTGCCAGCCCCGCCTCCCGCTCCTCCGGTGGGTGGTAACCGGGAGCCGCGACCTCCCTCCTCCCAGCGGCGCTGTCAGGCCGCAGATCCTATTCCCACTCCTCCCTTTCTTTGCCCCAGGCGCTCCCTAAACAATTCTCCCTCCTGGAGGAGAAAACCAGCCTTTATCCCGAATCCCTTTACAGCTTCCATACATCGCTGGGCCAGTCTTCTAATGTCCAACCCACGTGCTTCGTCCTGGTATTCATCCATTACTACTTATTGCAAGCCTGCTACGTGCCAGGCAAGCACTAAGATGACTGCTTGTTTTGCAGACCTTTCCCAGAGTAGAAGCGAACAGGTTGGGGACCAGGAGTGTTTTCTTGAGCCCTCTGCCGGGTCAATGTTTAACGAGTGGGTGTGGAGGAGGTGCTGCTGTGCATGTTTAAGCTCATCCGCACGGAGTCCTTACCGGTAGCCTTGCTCCGAGAGGTTTAAAGGTACATCCTCATTGCCTAGGTTTTAGCGCCTACCAGGAAGTAGGGTTTGAAGTTTACTTTTTCAACTATTCGGTCCCGTTGTCAGACCACTTTTTTAATTCTGAAAATGTAGGATTACTAAGGGCTTTGGTTTTAAATCTCAAATCATCTGTAAAACAGGCATGCCCCGTTGCCTACGGTTGCTTGACAATGGAGGAATCTGTCAACTATCCAACTGTACACTCATACTGAAAAGGGGATGGATAGGCAATGATTTTTTTCAGTCATTAAGCAAATAGCCAACAGTCCGTATTTATTAATTTAATATCTTCTATTGAACATATTTTTGATAGAGGCTGGGGCCAGACAGGTATTAATAAAACATAGCTTTTGCCCCCGAGTAGGAAAGAAATTACAGTCCAGCTGGGTTTAGTGTTGACCAAATTTGCTCCAGCCTCAGGTCCTTTACACGTGCTTTTTCTGCTGCCTGGAACTCTCCTCACGTACATCTTTTCAAGTCTTTGCTTAAAAGGCACCTTCTTAGAGAGACTTCACTAAAGAGCATCCCTCTTAGTCTCATTCCCCTTACACTACTTTATTTGTAGCTCTTATGCTTACATGCCTTTTTTAAAAAAATAATCCAGTGTATCCTTAAATAAATGTAAGCCCAATAAGGGCAGGACAGTTTTCCTTTTTCCTCAGTGCCTAAAACAGTGCTAGACACATAAGAGGTGCTCAATAAATATTTGTGGCATGAATGAATGCAGTGAACTTAACGATTTTGCATATTATAGTGTAGTGTGTGCCCTGCCCTGAAGAAAGTGCTCTTTATCGTAAGTGCTAGAGGGATTACTGACAGTTTGCAGAGGATGGAGGATAGAAGCATTTAAAAAGTGGAAGTCATGGAGAGTTTTGAAATATAGAAAAGATTAAAACTAATACAGCTCTTTTTTTAGATGTTCATTTGCAAGAAATAATACTAAGAGACAGTCAATGTATTAAAATTTTGAAAATTATAAATTTTATTTTTGTTGTGCGTGGAGAGGAAGCTTATTGTTGAATCTGATATCTTAATGAAAAAGATTTTAAAATACTGTTAAAATTGCAATATTTCTAATCTCATCTGATTCATTTAGAGTGTAAGAGAAACAAAATCCATTATTTTAGTATTCCCTCCAAAGAACTGTATAGGACTTTAAGTTCATGGGTAAGTATCAGAAGATTTCATTCTCTTCCCAGTCATAGACTCAAGCTTCTGGTGTATAGAGATTTTACTTAACATTTGAGGTGCTGTCATTACTATCATGGGTAGTGTATTTGTGCAGTGTAACATTTAAAATTTTTTTCTTTAAACATTATTAAAAAGTACCTCACAAAGCTGGCCTCTTCACCCCCCACACCTGTTTTGTTTTAAGCCAGTCACTTTATTGCATTGAAGTAGAATGCTTAAATATGTATATTTGGATTTTCTTGAATTTTCCTTAGGAAAAATTTTGAATTTTCCTTAGGGAAATCACATTGGGGCAGCCAGGATTGATTTATCTTTCTGACTGACTTCTTTTTGCCCTCTTTCATGCTCACAGGATCCTCCCCCGCTTCTCTCTCATTTAAAAGTTATATTGCATTTCAGTCTTCCCTTTTAGTTCCTGTGAAAACGACACTAATTTGAATTCTGCCTCTCCTAGTTTTCAGAAGTTTGCACAGCGGTTCTAGTATGTTCTCAGCTTCCAAGCCAACAGACAGAACTTAGCACCATATATAGTGATTTATAATCACTGCTGCTATATATATATATATATATATATATATATATATATATATATATAATAAATTTAATATATTAAATTAATATATATTAATAATTAATATATTAATGTCTGTGATAGGGCCATCAGCTAAAACAAATGAAAAATATAATTTCATTTGAAACAAAAGATTAGTTAACGAGCTTGTCCTTGCAATTAAATATAACAAGAAAAAGATCAGGCAAGTGCCCACAAGAAAAGGCTGCCAAAAAACACTATGAAAGGCTGTTTATTTTGGTGCTGTTGGCAGTGCTTTGAGGGTCTCTTAAAATTAAATGACATTTAAAGGAGAAAACCATGTTTAGTCATTAGTCCAGAGAACAAAACAAGCATAAGAAGCTTTGTTTTTTTCCCAACTCAGCAATACAGTTCTGCTGTGTAAACCAGCCATAATAAATATTAATGACCAACAGTTGAATAGGAATAATTATTACAGACTTTTGATCATTTTTCAGCTTTTCAAAGAAATAAACTGAAGCTTAGAGAGGTTAAGCAACCTGCTTAGTAAATGACAAAACCTAGGTCAGGCTCCAAGTTATAATCCACAAGATGCCGAATATTCACCAAGTAAGAGTTGAAACCAATGGTTGATACTTTAGATCCATGGTCTGCTAATATTCTCGTTCCAGGGATGTTAAGGATAACAGTGCTGTTCTAAACCTTCTAGAATTTCATTCACGAAATCACTGATGTAGCGTAGGGGAGAGTGTGTCAATATTCCTGATGATCTCATAAAAGTTTTTCTTTAACAGTTGGTTTGTTTAAATCAGGATCCAAAGAAGGATCCGCCCATTGCATTTCTTTGCAGATTTCTCCTTCCTCTTTTTTTCCTTTGCTGTTTACTAGTTGAAAGAATTGTGTCCTTGTCCTTGTAAGTTCCCAGTCAGGATTTTGCTGATTGCTTCCCATGGTGGTGTTTAACATCTTCGTCTGTCCCTGTATGCCCTCTAAACTAGTAGTTAGACACAGAGTTTCAATCCATAAGAATACCTCATAAATAATAGCATGTACTTTCAGGGGCACACAGTGTCTGGTTGTCTCTTTTTAGTGATGTTAGTGGCCAGTGATGGTCATTGTCCAGCTCCACTATTTCATTAGGGATTTGCTACTTAGTGTGTCTTTGATCTCTATAGATAGGGAACCGTTTCAGCATCTATTTCAAGAATTCTGCAAAGTATCTATTGATACCTGTTACACTATGCTGGATTCTCTGGCATGTACAAAAGAAATAACATCCTCAAAGAACCTGCAGACTTCTTGAGGGAGGAAAGAGGACTAGCATTTATTTAGTTTCTACTATGCTAGACACTTGTGTTCATCATTTTATTTCATCTTCACGACCGTCCTGTGAAGCACATAGCATACCCATTTTACACCTGAATAACAGGGGCTTGGAGAAGTTAAGTAATTTACTTGGACCAGTTACACAGCTAGAAAATGGCAGCGGGGGGAAGGGGGGGCGGGACGGGACACGGTTCTCAGATTCCTGCATGGGTAGTGGAGAGAAGGGAGGTAAAATGGAAAGACATTGGGTTAATAGAGAGGAAGGCACAAGAGCAGGGCTTGTGGCCTTAAAGCACAGATGAGACCAGGGTGATTGGAGATGGGTGTAGAGGACCTGCCATTGGAGAGAGCGTGGGCACTGTCAGACTGGGAATGCGCACTTGAGGGGGCTGGACCTGAGCCATTGGAAGCGTGTGGAAGATAATGGTGCATGACACTGGATGAAGGACAGGACTAAAGTGGAAGGATGGAGCAGATTTTCTGCAGAGGAAATACTTGGCGTTTCCATTAAGGCTTATGGCTGCTGTCAGGTTGTTGAGAAGGAACATACTGGGGAGGGGGTACACCAGCAAGCCCCTGAGCCAAGTGCGGATGTGGCCGTTACTGCCCATGCTTTTCTCCCTGCTGAGAGTTCAGGCTGCTGGAAGGGTATCAGCATCTCCTGGTAGATCTTGTCATGCCAGCTGGAGACCTTGTATCATGTTGGAGAGTCATTGTGGGCTTTTGGGTAAGAGTATGTGTGACACAGTGTAATGACTGTCTATGGGACACATCCTCTTGGATGTCCCCCAGGTACCTGCAACATCACAGAACTGTAAGTGGGCTGGTCTTCTCCCACCACTTGCTCCTCTCCTTGGGGTTCCCATGTCCTCTCAGATCCTCAAGGCAGAAAACCCAAGTCACCCTGGAGTATTGCTTCTTCCATATTTGTCACTAAGTCTATCCCCACCACCTCCTGATTGTCCCTGAATGCACCTCTCCTTTCTGTCACCCTTGTCTCAGCCTTCGATCAGGTTGTACTGATTTCTTGCCCCAAATACGGCTGAATCCTTCAACCTAGTCTCCCAGTCTAACCCCAGTTTCTCTTCAAAGGGTACCAGGAAGCCTTTCTAACTCATGAATCTAGTGGTGGTTTGATTTTTCAGGACGTCATTCCCTCCATTCAGCCTGGTGTCACTTCCACCCACCCCCTAGCTTTAACTTCAGACTCTCCTGTGTGTTATACCCTCCACGATGGTGGTGAGTTCCTTGGGTTTCTTCCAGCTCTCCATGCTCTCCCATGCCTCCATGCCTTGGCATATCTGGCACCCTCTTCCCCCGAACAACCTCCTCTGCCTTTTCTATGACTTGACTCACCTCAAATCTTGGCTCAGGTGTTCATTTCTCGTCTTCCATTAGGAAGGGTGTCTTCTCTGACACCGGCACCTCCAATGCCTTCTGAAGTCTTCTGTGTGTTTCCATAGTCCCCAAACAAGTAAGTCCTTTTTTTAAAGAAAAAAAATTTATTTTGATTTTTCTGTCTTTTGAAGGAAATTGTTTTACTACGTTTTTCTATATCTTTTCTCCTGTTTTTTTGTAGCCATCATGATCCTTTTTTCTTTCACTTTTTGCTTGTAGTGCTTGTGTTTTTCTCTGCCTTTCCTTACAGTCTTGATTTTTGACACAATTTTAAAAACACAAGACCAAATATGGATTTTTAAAATTTAGTCCATCATTGTTATCATTCTGCTGTAGATGCTTTTGTAGATAGGCTTCTTGTTAACCAAGCCTTGGA